GCTATCACTGCTCACATGTTTTAGGACCTTGCTAGGCTGGGAAGTAAAATCACATTTGTACAAAGCTCACTGAAACAAAACAAAACTTGGCAGAGAGAATCACTTAGGAAAAAAGAAATATAGATAAGAAACCAGAGATCAGAAAAAAGCCACTACTTATCTGACAATAAAGGATAAACTTAGACAGTAAGAAATCTCTACAGGGAGTATTTCTCCATAAGAAACAGTAAGAGGGAGAATAAGACAAGATCTGAAAAGAGACATCAGTTTGTAGCAGCAGTGGGCAGCTGCAAAATAAAAACAAGTGATTCCAAAAGACCTTTTCAGTGTCTGAGAGTATCCTATTATTACCTGCAGTAAAAACACACCTCTGAGTTGGCAACAACGTCATTGCATGGGAACCACTATACTGATGTGGACTGTTATATGAAAAGTAGTGCAAGTGCAGCCCTTGGAGGGTGGCTACGTGATCTGCTGGCTTGGGCAGGGCCGAGAGTCTCCGTCAGGTGAGGAAACCAACCCACTAAGCTATGGGGGGTGATGCTGGCAGGTTACGTGGGATGTGGTAACTCCTGCTCAGCACAGCCCTGTCCCCCAGTGGGACTTCTGGAGAGCCACCAACATTTCCCAGCTGAATTGCAGCTGGAGCTCCCCACTCTTCTCAGTTTTATGTCACATGTATGCGTAGTCATATGAAGATTTTGATACATAGCTCTCAGAGCCAGAAAGTTTTGTTGGATCTACATGAGTAACTCCCATAGTCTCCCTGGATAAGGTCCAGCCTGCCAACTCTGGTGCCTGCAGTAATATGCAGGCAGAGTACAGGTCTCCACACAGGGATTCCTCCATGCTTCAAAATGTACTTTACTCCCTGTGTTTGCTAATTAATTGTACCCAGGAAAGACTGCCAGGTTCAGTATAAAGGCTGACTTAACACAGTACGATCTCAAAATCAGTTCTTCCCATGAACAAGTTACTTGAGGTTTGGAGACTAAAAAGGAGGAAAAGGCAATGTGGACATTTTTTTCTTATTTTTAAATATTAAAAAAAGATTGTAAATGTTCATTTTGGGGAAAAAAAAAAAAGGTGCTTTTTTTAACTGCTATTCAAGAATTAACACTCTGACTAGCACGTGTGAGAAACACAGCCTTATGTCTGCAGGAACACTGGATGGAAAGGAAATGTTCCTCTCTAAGTACCTGAACACCAAACCTCCTGTGCATCTTGGGCAGTCCTTTAAACACTTACAGGCAAAAAGCTGCATCTACAGGAACGCAAAGGGAACGTACACAAAACACCTTAAATGAGCACTTTGAGAAAGCAACTCTTAGAATAAAAGGAGTCAAGGTTCAGAAGAAATTAATAATCTGCTATGATTTTAAGTTTTAAGCACAAGCAAAGCTCATAAAAAAAAGTGCAATAGTCTTCCAAAAGCTTACAGAAACTGTTTTCAATGAAAACTCAAACAGATATTTACATCAAGCATAAGAGTGCTTTGGTGGCAAGTGAGAGAGAGACCTACTTGCCGCATCATGACACATGACAGGAAAGAACTAGCATGGCGGAGGGTTGATGGAACTCCACTTGACATATGGGATGTGTTCTGATGTCAGCTAAATTTATGCCATATGCTACAAAGCATAGTGTAGTGTCTGCCTTTTTTGGAACACAAACAACTTGCTGACACTAAATGGAAAGTTCACTGCAGGATTTACATCATCTTTGACCTAATTGTGACAGGACAGAACTACTCAGGCTGCTCCTTAGGAATCCAGATTTTTTGTGTGATGCGTGTATTTATTGTCCAAACACATTACCCCATATTAGGAAAACTATCACTGTAACCATTTCAGGTACTGACACAAGGAACACCCCATTCTGCATTCTGGTAGAAAAAAGCAGGTCTGCATGAATTAAAAACAAAAAACAAGGAGAGGCAGGGCCCCAAAGCAGGCGGAGTAACTGGGTAAACGTTGCCCACACATGTGCCTGACATGCAGATGTTTTTAAATGTCTCCACCCACATCCAGATGGGCACAGCAGGAAGATATTATACGAAAAAATGTGTTGGGAGTTGTGCAGAGACTAGAAAAAATATCAGAAGTTAAGTGTGAAAATCCTCCCAGCAGTGAAGTTTTGACCTGTCCCCATTTAACACAACAGCCCCAGATATTTGCTTTGGTAACAGAAGCACAGCAGTAGCAGACTAAAACACGATCAAATGGTTTGGCTGAGTTAAGCCTCAAGCAACCCCAAAATATCTTATTAACTTTCCCAATAAACTTTTTGCTGCTCCACTGCCTTTAGATTTTACTTCCCCTGAAGCCTCAAACCTCCAATCCAGAGAGCAGTTTTGCTGTCTCACAATTTTCTTTGACCGAGCATGATTTAGTTTGATTCTGCTTGTTAAGGGAAGTGCAAAGAATCAGAACTGAAGCTGGACAACAGGAACTCACCATCCTTGTACATTCATATGCTGCCAAGGAGAGCGTCGGAACAAGAATCCGAGAGGCAGAATCAGTGATGCAGCCCTACCTTACCAAGAATAAGAAAACAGATGAAAGTGAAATCATGTTGAGGGGGGAGGAGGGGAAGCTGAGATCTTATAAAATCTGCCAACTTTGAGACAATAAATGAGCAAAACCAGCACCAGTTGGAAAGGGACTCAGGCAAGCCAGTCTCCTTATACTAACTCTTTGGTGCTCACAGGCATGAAAGCGAAGATATCCACATCAGCAGTATGACATGTTTATTTAGATGAGTTAACTGTAAAAACACTTGCCAAGTTATTTGTAGGCTGTGCCAAGTATATGTCAGAACCTAACAGACTGATCTTACAGCAACAATTGTAGAGAATCACAATTCTGCTGTCTCTCTCTTAACAGTAGTTGACTAAATAGCCATGTTTTTCCACGAAAGATTGGATGTGAATTTGTTTTCTTTTCCTGCTTGAACAGGAGTAGGAACAAAGCTCGGTGTCGGTTTCTGAGGAAGTCCCCCACCTCCTGCAGTCCCTTTCACAAGTAACCAACCTTTCCACTCTGCCCCCAAAACAGCCCACAAAGAGAAAAAGGTTATTCAAATGACCAGAGACTCATTTTTACCTCAACGAAATTATCCAACACTAAATTATCAAATATAGCCTTTAAAAAGGAGAAATTTTCCATTTGTGCAAAAATACCACAGCAATAATCAGTGACTTAAAGGAAATAAACAGCTTACGAGGTTAAGTTATAAATTAATTAAATTGCATAAGTCACAGCACAGGACACATCCTAAACATGGTGGTTGGGCTTTTTTTCCCCCTGAAGACGTCCTCTCACATTGAAAAATATTTTTGTGGAATTAGAAGAAATAATGAAACAAAGAAAAAATGGAAGAGATACAGAAAAGCAATCCGTTCTCATTAACAGTGTGAAAGAGCTCCAGAGCCTGCTTCTGGAATTCTTAATTTCTTCTGCCACTACCTGGTTTATTTTAAAAATGGATTATTTAAATTTCCAAGCATTTGATGTCAGATAAATACCTGAATACTGCAAAACACTAACAAGAAACATTGAAGGCATCCCTTTTAAATATATCTTTCAACTGTTCAAAATTGTATCTACTGTAGACAAAGTGAATTTTATGCTATGTATTAAAGACGGTAGATGTTTGAGGTGACTGTGGGAAACACAGGAAACCCCTCAGCACTCTGAGCAAGAGTCTCACAAGCCTCTGAAAAACCCAGAGCTCCATTACATTCAGCATGACTCTTCAGTGCTGCAACGGGCACAAACAGCAAAGGCTGCTGTAGACGTACCACCTACAAAAGGCTTTGACATCCTCCAGGGTGAAAGCGTGTATTAGAACAGGAGACATCACTAAGAATATTGCAAAAGAAATGTATTATTTGGCGAGTGCTTCCAGAGTTTATAGAGGTATATCCTATTTTAAATGTGCAGGGTAATGAAGACTGTTGGACACCACTGTGAAATACTACTGACAAATGCGGCCTCTTGAAGAGGAAAACTGTAAGGAATTCTTCTTCGATTTCAGAGGCAGCAGATGCATTGTGTGTTGGCACGACTGGTATTGGAACTGCAGTATACATAGAAGTCACATAAAACCCACAGCAAGGTCCAGATCATATATTAATGTTGCTGTAATCCGTGCACCAGTCTTCTGCCAAATGTGTCAAATTTTCCCCTATAATGGAGCTATTTTGCTCACTGGGCCATATCCTGCATTTTTGAATCGCACACATTTTAGGCATTTAACAGAGCAACAACCACTTGCAGAGAAAGAAAACTAATTGCAATAACATATCCATTCTACATAAAATTGTTCTGTTCATAAAACTTAAGATTGCAGTATTTCTTTGCTAATGAGACATGGGCAAAGCTGGCAAAGCTCAGATATTATAGCATTTCTACACCAACTGTGTTAAGTGGATATCATAACTCAAATAATAAATAATAATAACAAATATATCTAGAAATGTAGATTCCCAGTAAAAGATACTAACAATCAATTCATTCGATCACAACATATACTCATTCACCCATACAAGATATACACACTCACACCTGCCATTCTGGGCTGGATCCCATAAAACGTCAAATTTTCTCCTTAGCAGAGTTCATGATATATAAGACTCAGAGAAGGAGTAAAATGAAATGGAAGGCTATGGAATTTCATCACACCCTGACAGACATACTAAAGGTTAGAAAGCTGTAACTAGTATAACTAGTTTCATTAATTTTTACATGTATAAATAGAAGAATGAGTGAATGTTATTGACCTTTTATTTATATATAAAAATATCAATGGCTAAGGCAGTCAGGAACTTCTGTGTGCAAGAGAAAGGTAAGTTATCTACAATCCATTTGGCAGTACTTGCAGATACATCTCAAGTAAACTGAACTGATAGATGAAGATGAAAAATAACCAAAAAGTGCTCACTTAATGTGCAGTGTCTCACAACAAAGGTCACAATTAGATTTACACCATGAACATACCTGGCATATTCCACTGATGCACATATCCAAGGATTCAATATTGCAACGCGTACCATCTAGCACTTTTGGGGCAAGCTCCACAATCAAGTTCTTTCCCAGAGCTTGACATTTCAGGGCACATGGTGCAGTAGGATCGTTATACACAGGGATCCACTCATAAAAATGTCCCTGGTATTTGACGTCATTGTAGGCTGAACACTGTTGTGCTCTAAAGTCACCAACATCTGAAGGGCAGTCCTAAAAACAAAGCAAAGGAAATATTTTTTTAAGAAGGGAATACTTTGCATTTGCAATAAGAATAATAATAATAATCTGATGAATTACACAGAATCTATTCAGGGAGGCTTGGTTCAAGAAATGATCTGCTATGACAAATATGCCATATTGCAAAGTTTTACTGTGTGCATTAAAACAATTTATGGTGTTTAATCTATTGCTTGCAGTGCAAGTAACAGAATATATCATGCATATTCCAGTAATAACAACATAACTGATATGAGAAGATAATTAAAAATGCTACTTTTTATGACACTATGTAGCACATTTAAAGTCTGGTTCTGTAATAAGAATTAGCTTCTAAAGGAATCTATATATTTTGAGTGACTATAATGAGATGTCTGACATTTAATATTTCTCTTTTCAATAGCTTTTTCCACTTAAGGATTTCTGAGTGCTCTGCACTCGTTCATCAATTCATACGTCAGAGTAATGAAAGAGGTATTATTGTTACTTATGCATAAAGAAATAAAAATTTGTCTAATTAATTGTTCAGTATTGCTCGGAAAGGGGCCAAGAGCATTAGGAGGAGACACCAGAACTTTCAGTACTTAGTCCTTTAGTCTAATTACAAAACACCTTCACCTCATGGAAGCAGTAAGGCTTACTTTGTTGAAATAAAATATACTTCAAATTGGTAACTATTGATCATATAGTTCCAGTTCTAATGAGACAGTTCTGTACCTCCCCCCATACAGAGCCTCAGCATATACAGCTTTCAGACCAAATATGAGAACTGTTTGAAAGAAAATATTCTAAAATATTTTTTCTACATAAAGCATTGCACCCAAACAATGATGTTAATATTAAACTATGGTGACAGGAATGGAGATGAATACTGATTTATTCGAAAATAACTTTGGTAAAGTACTGACAAAGGAGTTAGTGTGTCAAACAATTTTTCACTAAAGACTTCATTTGAAAGTATGTCCAGTGTCAAACAGTCCACATGCCAGACTGAAAGGATATTCTTCCAAGAATTCCAACTGCACATATAAGCCAGATGTGAGGCTGATTTTCACAAAGTTTTGTTTTCATTGGATATAAGACGGAAAGATTGTGATGTGTCAGCTGAACTCATGGAACATATTACTAAGTATTAGTTAACACTAATCCTAAATACAGCTTCAACCTTATCAGTGAACTGAACCTTCCCTGAAAAAAGCTAACAAAATAGTAAGTGCATTACACAGTACTGGACATTAAAACATACATGAGAAAGGTTCGAATTCCAGTCCGATGCCCTCAACAATGTTGTCCTGCTCATATGAATCTGAAGGAGTTGGCACTGCATTAGCTTAATAATTTGTCAATGCCTTAGATTTTTTTTTCACCATAGGAAAGTGACCTAGAAATGTCTCTGGTTTATATGTAGTCTGCATAAAATACCTTCTAAAATCAGTATTCTCTCTACTGATCAACGTGGGGTTTTTTGCAACTGAGCACCGAGCAATTCACTGAGCATTCCCAGCAACGCTTTTCAACCCTGTCTAGTGCTACACCTTACCGTGAGAATAACTCAGAATGATGCTAATACATTTTGTATTATTTTTAATCTGCAATAATTCTAGTTTGAGCAATATTTTTTTAAACTATAAAATGATGGAATAAGACAAGGAGAAATTACAGTTATTGTAATTCGTTGAGAGTTTTACCTCTGCAAAATCCCACAAGGGAGAGCTTCTAAAAACATCAAGCAAATACTGTCAGAAACCACCCTTATTTACTGCAGTGTCAGCCCCAAGAAATTCACCAAGTTTGCACTGGTGTAAATGAGAGCAGAATTTGGCTCTGACTTATCTGTCACCTCTCATTTTCCACAATAGCAAGTCTAAAAAGCAGAGAGGACTTCACAGTTCATATGGATACCATATGGTTCCCTTCCACCATTGCAAATAGAGGAGTAGCTAAGGATAAAAATAATAAGTGGAAGTCAGATTCAGGTAAAGTTAGAAGCAATATTTCGGAGTAGCATTATTCAGCCATGCACAGCTACATTTTCATCACAAAGAATTAAAGAGCTATCTGTAAAATAGGCAGAGCGATGGCCTTAGGCTGAGTTTTGACAGGCTGTTGTTACAATTCATTATCACTCGGTGTTGATGCAATGCCAAGACACAAACGCCACAATGTCAGGATGTCAATCCGTGGTTACTGTATGTTTCCCATTGATTCAACACAATGCAGCTCCTTCCTTCCACTTGCTTCCTGGCTGCTTGAGAGCAACTGAATTCTCATCTCCCTATTCTGTTTTGGCATCTTCAAAGAACACAAAGCGATCCTGGCAGCTTGATTCATATGCCAGTTCCACCCGCTTTATGTGTGAGCTGTGTTCTAAAGCAGGAGCATAAAAAGAGCATCACAAAGGGATATCAAAGGGCTGAAATTATTATCATTTGCATTATATCAGCATTTGGATGGCAACCAAGTTCAGATCCTGTTTTCCTGGGAACAATACATATTTGTATAAAGAAAGTTTATAATCTAAACAGAAAGACAACTAAGCACAGAAAGGAATGTAATCAAGACAACAAGAGGACTTGTAAACTTCAGGTTAATTCCATTTGAGTGGGTCAGAAAAGTGAGAGGGAGTTTAAAAAACAAAGGAAAAGGGGGGCAGGGCAAGACGTGAAGAGGTAGGCAAGGGTGAAGCATGTTTGGGAAGTGGGCAAGGCCACGCTGTCAAACAATGATACATGGGCCCCAATCCTCATCCTGTTTCCACCTCTTTTTGGTTTTAACCTATTTCAGACATCAATTCATTCTGTCATTCCCTCTTCCTTCTCAATATTCCACGTTTTTTCTTGTTCGTTAAATATTTTTGCTACTAATTTCAGGATTTCTCAGATTTGCTAATTTCAGCAATAGTTTTTGTCTTACACTCAATCCACTGAACCATAGCCAGGCCATTCATAGGTTCATACACTATGTAAAGGAGCTGAAGACATATCTATGAGATCTAATACATGAAATGTTGCCAAAAAATCACATCCAGATCTTCTCGTGGAACGAAGTGTATTTATGACATGACTTATGAACATATTATTAGACCAACAGATCTGAAAAAGATGCTTCAGACATCATGGCTACCATGCAGGTTAAAAAATACATACATATATTCCCATTCTTTTTGTGACAGATGATTAAAAACTACTGCATTCAAGGGCTGGCTTCTTATGAAATGTATCATTTTAGTTCTGGCAGCAAGCACTCTTAGCCTTTGAAAACAAAGCTAACCTGGGGAATCTGTATCTTTGTAGAAAATGTTCATGTACAAAATATGAAGGTTGCATCAGACCCTGTAACTCCTGCCAACAATTACTCCGCTGAAAAAAGCACAAAAGAGAAGGCAAGAAAATTCCCAGTAAAAATGATGACACCAAAGAAAGTCTAGCCCTTTGTCTAGTTTTATTCTTTGAATCTCATTTTGTTGAGACCTAGCCAAAACCGATGAAGTCATTGTTTTGTTTTCTTTTTGAAATTAGCTTCAGGTCCTATGTTTTTCCTATGCAATTTTCAGGCCACTTCTTAGTAAAATCGATATACCTGAGCTAGAAACCCTAGCCACCAGAGTCATACAGTGTATCAAGCATTATAAAAATAAAATAAATAAATGAACAGATTAGAGAGAAACTATGCAACTCAAGGTGAAATATTATAGGACTAAAGTAGACACAGTTCAGCCAAGATTTTCTGAATGGGATAAATGAGCTGGTTAAGACGGGGATGCTGGGACAATAATCTGATGAATGTGTTGAACAAGTGCAAGCATTATCTGCATATAATAAAAGTTTATAATGGACTTAAACACAGTCAAATCTGTTACAAAAGTGTTTTTTCTTACTGTAGAAGAGTCACTCTAGCAAATGTATAAGTGACTTTTTGGCACATAAGAATGTGAAATTTATGGGGAAATGGCCCAAATAACTTGTTCTATGAATAGGACCCTAAAGGATTATCTTAAACACTTCCATATAGTGTACATCATAGCATTAGAATGTAACAGTATATACAAAAATGGAAATATAAAAACCGGGGGGTTAAGAAAGACTGAAAACCTCATTGAACAGCATATAATGAATCGTTTATATAGTTTATTTCTCTAAAGTCTCTATAAGAAAAGCTGAAAGCATACATGCAGTTTTAGGAAATCCTGCACCTGGCATCTCAGTTATGATAGAAAGATAAGCAGGCTATACGTATGCCTTAATCTCACCAATTATTTTGTTGCTAAGACCTTGAATTAATTTTTTGATTGAAATATCACTAATATTATTCTGGAACTATGCTTGAGTTCAATGAACTTACTACTATTCTATTACAAATCCAGATGAAACCAATTTTCTGGTAAAATGATTCTTGTTCTTTTCATTAGAATGACACACATATTAAGTTGTGCTTCATTTGTACTCCCCAATATAGATGTTAGTGGCGTAATGTATCATGTAGCAAAATTACATTTGCAGACAACTTTACACAGTGTATATATACTGAATGTCTCATGTGGTTAGCAATAATACCTACTAATATGGAAAGAAGCTAGTTTAAACTCGTAATTTTCAAACTAAAATTTTACTCCTAAAGTGAGAAGCATTCATTAGAAATAATGCTTTGGGGAAAATTATATCATTTGAAACACAACTGGCCTAGTAGTCCAGGTTTACATGAGGTACAAGCTCCCATTTCAAGGTTAAGTCAGGTCTAATACTGGGTTTGAATTCAGTGACACCAAATTCAAAGACGAGCTGTATTAACAGTGGAAATCTCATGAAATATATTTTTTTCAGGAGTTCTCCATTATCTGATCCATAATCTAGGAAAAACCATTCCTGGGAGATTCTGGCTGTATCTGAACTGAAATGGAAACCTGATCCCTTTCAGACATGCCCCAAAAGCAGAACTGTAAAGGCAGCTTCCTGTCTGGAAATTAACATTTGAATCATCATAAATTCAAACAGACTCACATACAAGGCGCTTGCCACTTATCGCTTTAAAATAAGTCCTAAAGTTAAAAAACAGGCCCCAGTGACTTCAGAAAAACTCCCTGGGCGTTCAGAAAGGATATAGCAATCATCTTATTTTCTCTATGCTGAAGCACAGAGAGCCTTCATTTCCATCAGATTTTTACTGCATAATCCTTAAAATGAACAGTGTCCACAAGTGCTCTGGTATATCCTAAAAGCTTGTAGGCCTCTGCTTACAGCAGAAAATATGCCCAAATTCATCTCTTTCTCCTTTTTCTGTACACTGGATACTTTTCTAGTCCTTTCATTGGAGGAACAAGGTATACTACATTGACTTGCTTGTACTGTTGCATAGGAAGCTGTAGTGCATGGGATCAAGCAATCAGAGGTATATTACTGTATACAATGCATACAACTAGATATCTAGATAAGGAATGTAGCAAATAGATTTTGCAGTGGCAGTTTTATTGCTTACATACTGGCTGGCTGCAGTTTAGCTTATCACAGAGCTTTAAAAGATTATGGTAATTTTTGCATGTGGCATTTTTATTTATGAGCTAAGGACATTGTGCACAAAACTGCTAGGCCTTTTCTTCTGAAAGGGCAAGTGACAGGATTTGTTTCCAGAATCTGATTTTTGCATGCCCTGGGCCTGATTCATTAATCACTTCCACTAGCTTCTGCCAGCAGAAACAGGCTGTGAGCCGTTGTGGTGGAAAATCCATCCAACACTGAGGAGTGGAGTGTTAGAGCAATTCAAGGTGCTAGCAAGCCTTGTTCTTGAGGAGGGCAGAAGCCAACTGGCACACAAGAAACTGTAGGTGTGGCAAACTGAAGAGTGGGAATGGCCAGTTCTCCCAGGAGATACACTGATTCAACATATTTACTGGGCAACTTCCAGTGTCAGGCCTCCTAAGGAGAACATGTCATACTTCACAGCTCCCTGCTGCTGGCAGAAATCACAGGGTTAGCAATGACATGAGTATCACCTGCTTTTGCCTGGGTATAATTCAACCCAAGGGAACCACAGGCCTCACCTTTTAAGGGGTATTTCTGTGAAAATTGCTGCCTTTCTCCCAGAGCCAGAAGCAGATTAATCAAATGCACTACAGTAAAATAAAATAAAATTAAATAAAAAGATGCTTTTGCTTTAATTACTTATCTACCCTCTCTCTTTTCTGGAATGGGATTACATGAATGTCATATTGTACTGTAAGGTAACCCGTGCAAAGGGGGTGACTGCTGACCATAAACCATCCTGAATTATTGTGTTTGTACACATGGTCTGTTGATCAGTGGTATCGCAGAGTCCTCCATGAGCTGCACACCTTGAACAGACTACAACATCTGGGGTGAAAAGCAGCAGCTGTTTAAACAGCACAAAGCATCACTGCAAATCAGTTGAGCACAAGTCATGAAGCATGCTGTATGTGACTGGGTTTCATAAAACGTGTCTGTAAAAATAAAATGTGATCGCAACACAGTAACAGCAACTGTATAGTCAAAACTCTGGCTTTACATTCAGTCACGGAAATTGTCTATGCCAGTGTACCTAAATATACATGCTTTTGCATATAGACATATAAATATCTGGGCTCAGGCAAACAGAGGGGATATAAGGAGTAATTATCCAATTAAAGATTTGAAAGAGACCCAGGCAGTTAACCTCTTTGCTCATGTGAAGCGTGCTACCTTATCATTAATAATCACAAATGATCAGGAGCTCAGTTTAATGCTTCATCTGAAAGACAGCACCCCCAGGAAAAGCACTTGCTAGTTTAAGATGAGATCTGATTTTTTAATCCTCCAAAATGTGTAACTTTCCTAATAAATGATATAAAACATTCTGAATCACAATTGGCACTATAATTTTAAAAGAAAACGTCCATTTGGGAAGCCTAAATTTGAGACCTCATGGTGTCATGCAGACTGAAAGCTTTAAAAATGGTAATAATGATGGAAAGAAAATTATGCGCCATAAGGTTTTAAACAAGAAGCAGCATTTCTTAAACTTTAACACATTGTTTGAATAAGTAAAATAGGATTAAAGGCCAGACTCACATTACTACTGCAGGTCTTGTATCGAATATTCCGACCTTCACAGTTCCTGAAAAACAGAGTAAAAATGGTTACACTGCATAACAGCAAAACACAACCCTGCCTGGTTTACAGTTAGTTATTCTCTTGAAAATTAGACTTTTATTGCTACTGCCCTACCATAATTTGGACTCAAAATACAAGGTTTAAATACAAAGGGGATCTGGGGACTCAACAGGTTACGCTCCTGTCTCTCTTCAGCAAAGAACGTGTGGCTTTCCCTGTAAGCCCAATTTACTGCAAACCTGATGAAAAACACATTTATTTTGTGAAAAAGATTTCACAAGGCATCCCTAAGCCTGATCTATGCTGACTTCAGCAAAGCTACTTCTAATCCATGGGATGTAACCCAGAGGAAAAGAGGATCAGAATATCTAAGCAATCCTTTAATCAAGCATAGGGCTAATGAGCATTAATTTTCCTTTCTCCCATTTTGTTGAGGAAAAGAAAAACAGCCTTAAACCTTTCCTTTCTCCCAAAAATGAATGCAATACTTTTGAGGAACAGCACATAATTTTACTGACCCAAAGCCACTTGAGCAGAATTCATAATTTTAAATTACATATAATTCTCATGGACTGCATGCATTTCTAAGGTGCCCAGTGCATGTGAATCCTGAAATCCAGGCACTTCAGATCCTCAGCAAAGTCTGCTGTTAGTAGATGAAATAACAGACATATGATAAAGTCATGATTATTTACTGTGGTCTCATAAATATGGGGATGTGTGGGTTTCACACTTTTTTTAGGGACACAGTTTGCGAAACTTCTCAATAACTGACCGGCACTTTTGCACAGGGTAAGATATTCTTCTTCTTAAGAATGGCAAAATCAAGCCCTTGAAAGAACTGAAAACATATTTCAAATGACTTGACAGGAAATTATAATTAGTCATGTCTCTAAAATCAGGAATAGTGTTTTGGAATAATCCCTTCAAACCAAAAAGACCTGCCTTACATTAAAGAATGCATGAATGTATAGCTGGTCATTTCCAGCTTGGACTAAATTTTCCACTTTTTGCATGAAAATTGATTGCAAATATTAAAAAAATTATTTAATATGTGTGAGGGATTGAAAAATATCATTTGAAAAGGAAAAAGCAATGGATGCCTGGAGCAAGAGTTCAACCAGCTCAGCTGAAGGTACAACTCTCCAGGCTCAAAATATTACATGTCTCAAATTTCCACTCTTTTGCAAGAGTGATTGCATTGCAAGGTCCAAGTTAAAAATGTTTATGATACATACCAATGTGAAAACTTTGTTTCACAATTGCGCATTTCCTGGACATTACAACAACAATAAAACAGAAAAAAAACTTTTAAACTACACATTTGTCAAGGTATGGAAAACACATGTTTTTCACAGGGGAACATATTAAAAATATTAATAAAACCACAGTGGAATTTATATCGCTACAATTTATTGAGCTCGTTTCACAGTGCCTAACACAGTGGTAGAATATCATGGCTTCTTGCTGGAAATATTACTTTTCTCAAAGATCTTTGTGTATTTTGCACTAAAAGAAACAGGCAGTGTTTTAATCAATCGTCTTTAGCTATATATTTCATACAGTTTTCACTTAACTAGTGTATCACACTACAAGCCTTCCTTAAGAAAAATTGACTTCCTGGGTGATACTGCATTTAATTTAAAAAAATATCAACAAAAAGAGAAATTTAAACATAATCAGCAGTTTTAAAAACGTTTAAGAATAATTAATAATAAGAAATTATGGACGCCAGCACAGATGCTTCTAGGCTGGTTGGGATCTCTTCTCGCCTGACTACAAGCCTATTGCATTACTCATACTTTTAGGATTGTAGCAACAAGTCCTACATTAGTCCAGCTTTACTACTGAGGTAAATTGTTTTCACCGCATACGCTGTTCTCTTCAAGCTACACTGAGGCTTTTCCACGAAAACATATGGCCACCAGGACCGCTGCATAGAAAGAACTGGCAGAGAAAAAGTTTCCTAACAGAAAGCAGCATTTGATACATCTATACATGGAGTAAGTGACCTGTTTTTTACTACAGGGAAGACATGGAGGAGCCTGCACTTGAAAATTATTTCAAGTAATGATCATAAAGGCTAATTTGTATGCAGGTAACTCACCATTCGCTTTGTATTATGGTGACAGGGACTTCTCTCAGTTTTTGACTGTACTAAATAAATCATTCTTGTTATTCCACAAACATATTTAATAACATGCTAAAGTTCTATCAGAGTTGAAGGCTCAGATATTTATCTAATATATTTCGAAAGTATATTAAAAGCGGGATTTCATAACACTTGATCTGTACACGGCACTTGGTTCCAGAAACAGACGCAACAATGGATCAAAGGAGAGGGAAATATGGCAGAGTTGCAGAAGAATAAATACACGTAAGCATGTGGCTTACCTGCCATTTAAACATCTCCTCAACGAATAAGAGGCTCCCCCACCACAGGTCCGTGAGCAATCACTCCAGGCCCCCCAGGCATCCCAGGAGCCTTCCTTATCTTCATCAGAGCGGGTAATTCTGGAGGTCTGAAAAAAATGGAGAATGGAGAGGAGAAAAAAACCACATTAATTGATTTGGTACATGTTTTACTGCTTGGCATTAATACTACTGAGTATGTTACTTTGCTGTTTATTTACAGTATCTCAAACTTATTTACTATTTTAACATATAATAATTACATGGGAAAGGAAGCAGAGTCTTCGAAGATACAGTGTATTTGATGCGTTGCATTCCGCCGACAGACTGCTATGTCCAAATATACTGCCATTCCCAATGTACGTATGTCCAACACCCAGTGTAGGAACTACACAATTGATCTCAAGCAGCCAGACCAGGCGTCATGTTCTGAGCAGGCTGCTGGGCTTTCTGAAATCCTGACCAAAGAAGTTTCATATCCACGACTAATGGGAGGATGAAAGCCTCTTTTTATCTCCTCAAGCATGCCTGCACTCAGCAGTAGTACAGAAATTAAGCAACTCAAATCTTTTGTAAAGTGCATGCCCAGAACTGCAATCAGGGAAACAAACCAAGAATACAACTTCATTACAAAAAGTGCCACTTATTTGAAAGAAATCAGGGAAAAAGGCTTAAAGATTTTTAGGCTACAGCAATTAAACACTGATTTAAGCTTAAATTCACTTACACAGGCTTCAAAAACATTATTACCAGACACCATAAATATAGAAATTAAAGATTTGTGACAAAACCCAAAATTCTGCTTGACCTCTTAAAAATGTCATTTTTCATTTGCATTGTATCCTGTTTAAGAAAATTGACATTTCCCAGAGAAAATTATCAAAACATTTTAGAAAATCGCAGCTTAGCACAATAGTTCAATATTAAAAAGTGATATGAATCAAATCATTCAGTAATGTCCTGCTTTAAGAGATTACTTTTTGGTTTATGATTTTCTTCACGAAGAAACCATAGGAAAATCAAATTCAGGATTTCCCCAAGCATTTCTTTCACTTCACTATAATTGTTCAGCAGCTGTTCCATTTACATTCTACTTTCATTCCTCTGTCCCTGTAACCTTTAAAAATTCTCTCTTGAAAAAACATGCACAGATTTTTATAATAAAATGTCAAACATAATGGTTCCCTGAGAGTTGTCAGACATACGATGGGCCTGTTAGCATAAAGAAATTAAGATTTTTAGAACCCTAAATTACACCCAGACTGAGATGAAAACACCAATTTCTCTAATCACTGTGGTGATAGAGTTTGCATATAAACTACTGCAAACATAATAATGTAACAGCTATTAACATCATTATGAATGAAAGTCGTATTGTGGATAAAAATGAGGCAATGAGTCATTTCTCTCAGGTGACAGAGAACATTGACCGATATTTACTCTGCCCCAATACAATCGCAAACAAGAGAACATGAAGGGTTCATCCAAGCTTTACTGAAACAACTATTTATACAGCCAATTTTTTATTCCTGTTGACTTCAGCGGGCATCCAAGCAGACCTCAGATAAACAAAGGCACTACATTCACCTGACTGTGTTATTTTTGAAACCACAGGAAGGCACAACTTAATCAGACGGTGTTTCAGGTTACTCCCCCTCCCACAAAACAAGCGCACAGAAACACCAACCAAAGGGCTATCTGTCAGCAAACATAAGGCAAAGAGATAAAAACAAATACTAAATAAACTGCATCCAACTCAACATTTAAGTCTTTGTAAGTGCCAAAAAAAAAAAGGAAAAAAAGGATGTTTAAAATGCTGAAAAGATTTTCATGAGTGACTAGATCCAGAGAAGTGCAAGAGATTAGTATATATCCTACTACTAAACCAGATGAACACACTTTAGTAACCCATATTTTCTCTAAGAAATAACTTAAGTAAGCTCATGAGAAGAAGACTCAGTCTTATTTTCTTCCAAAATGCCCCACAAAAGTGATTTAAAAGTGAGGGATGTGTAATTCAAATCTTATGGTATAAGGGGAAAAAATACGTAACTGTCCTTAAATTCAACAGTACAGACAGTCAGCTCATCTTCAGCCATGAAGAAAGTTGACTCAGATAAAAGCCTACCAAGCTTGAAGTGAAAATGACAAACAATAGAAACAAAGCTGTTTTCAAAATAGCACCATACAAGGAATATGACTCAACACCACGCTGTGTAGGCAAAGGGATTTTCTCCTAAATATTATTGTCAAAAAAAACCAAACCAAATGAAAACAAACAAACAAACAAAAACCAACCACGTGCCACAGAACTGGCCTGTTTCTGTGAATGAGCTGTTACACTTAGGATGCATTCACACCGCAGTTGTTCATATAACTATTGAACAAGCCTCATTTTAGAAACCCAAATGGCAAATAGTTAAACTTAGCTACACTTAAGCAGAACTAAGGACTACTCAAACACATTTTAAAGGCATTAATAAAAGTAGGCAGATTTAGTATAATAGCACTACTCCCCATAGTTAAGCAGCTAACAAACGTCCGCAATTTCCAAACTTTTCCATCTCTTCCTCAAAAACCTTGAACTTGTAAAAAAAAATTTTGCTAATTAGAGGATAAGCTATCTCCATTTGAACAGTAAACTGCAGAAGTTGGTCTAAACACATCAGTGGCTCCTTAACTTTCTTGCTCCCCTAAGTTTACAAATTTTACAAACATTGTAAAGCTTTAAAAGTGTACTCAGGCCAATCTACTGTTCCAGAAACGATAGAGCCCAGCTCTGCCAAGATCCCCGAGGAATTTTTGTGCTGGCGTTGGGTTTATTTTACATCAGAAGCCAACTCTGAAATGTCTGACACTGAAAATGGAACCAACTGCCTTCAATCGTGAGCAAAAAGCGCTCACCACTTCCCAACAAATCACTCAGCACATGAAAATAAGTCAAGATGAACAAAAGAGTCACTTCTTTCAAATTTATGAGTGCAAAATTAAAATTCGTCCTCTGTAATCCCAAGGCAAATGATTGTTTTTTAATATGTCAAGAAATTATTAAACTTATGATATTACAAAAGCAATACACACCACTCTCTCTTTCAGAATAGCGAGTTTCTTTTGACAAAGCAGTGGCAATGCCTAAAATAATCCTAACTTCATCATTCTATTAAAACCAGCCACATGATATTAACAGACAGAATGTCATCTAAAGCCCTAAACAATGTCCAGTTGTTCCCCTAGCAAACTGCTTTGATAAAAGCCATTGTTCTGAACTGTATCTAATTAAAAAGCTGTAAATACTAGGATGATCAAAGCAGAAGTTTATGCCAACAAAGCCTTCTTCAGAATCATTGACTAATTCAGTGCCCACAGTGTTGATTTAAACTCCAGCTAGTTCAAACTATTTGTCCCATGGAAAGAGTTAAAAGCAGCTTGCACTGGCTTAGTAATTTACTAGCAAAATAATATTGATTTACTAGCTGTCTGGTTTCATAAACTCTACATATTACATTTGTCTACACCATGGTACGAAATTGAAGTAAAATAAAGAAAAGATCATCAACATCATGATTTAAACCAACAAAACCTTGGAAGCTCATTTAGGAATTAAATCAAGAGGTAATTGCAATTGGGCACAAAAGGGTATTATTGTACCTCAGGACTGCCTTCATGGTTTGCTTCTTAACTTCAATTGTTCATGTTTTTATTGTCTTCAGTCATAATTCTAACGAATTCAGCAGTGAAGCTTTGCTGAAGCATATTAGAATGGAAGTGTTTTTCCTTTAGTGGTTTGATTTTGCAACAGATGAAGTGCCACGCTTACATTGAGCATATTCATTGTGAAAGTATGTATGCACCTACACATACATAAATGCGTGCATGCACATGCGCACCCGTGACGTGACATGATCAAGTAAAGTCACAAGTGCTGTAGTGAATCCAGATAAAAATAACTTAAACCAGCTATAAACACAACCTAGATGATTTGCTGCTCTTTACATAGAACTAAATGGCAAAAGGTGTCACACTTCCACTGGATCCAGCTACGCTAACGGGAGTTGTATCCATTCCAAAAGCATCACACGCGAACACAGGGTTAGATGCAAGCATTGCATTCAAAGCAATGTTTAAGAACCTATACAATGTTCTCTGCAGAAATTAATCCAGTTCATACAATAAAGGTAGTTTCACATATTTCATCTCAATCTATGCATCCAATCTATAATTCATTCTGAAAGCAAAAAAAGAGTAAGTCATGGCACTGCACATGGATCTGGGCAAGGATCACTTGAATCAGGGGACAGAGGAAAATAAACTACAAGTTTTGAAGCACTTGGTGACATCGGCAGTCTCAAAGACTGAGATGACAGTATGCCAAGGTTTCCTCAAGGTCTGAGGCCCAGTAACGTGCAATCTGAGTCTCTGCTGACAACCATTAACTGAGAGAGGCAGCCTCATACATGGAGAATTTTACCAAAAGTGTGGCACTGCTAGATTTGGACAGAGGGAAAATGTTAGTGCCAGTTTCCCTTCTTCCATCCAGGGCTCTGTTTTGCTTCTGCCACATATGGGTACATACTGTAACACTATGTTCTGCAAATTATTTGTGTGTGTGTATTTTCAGGCCGTACTTGCCTTGCAATGTACTACTCAAAGTAACTGAGTATAGCAGAAGTGGGCACTGAGGTAAAATAAATGAAATCCAGATGTTACGAGGGCTGATCATTAATCTAAAACAAGGGGATTTTTACTGTCACTTGTAACACCCAGTAAATAACAACAGCTACATTGACACACATTACAAAAATCAAACACAGTGCTGTTATATGGAGAAAAACGATTTGGCCAAACTTTTGTTTGGCTGTTATGAAGGATGACATAATTGTCTTGAATATGGTCATGCAGACTTCAAAGGAGATGTGGTGCCAGAGAATGAAGGTCAGTTTATGCAGTTTTGTTATTATTCAGACATACATTACATAAGGCTTGGATATGTAAATGTTTAGCGTCCAACATAACAAAGATTCAGCTTCTCAACAGCAATGCTCCGATACCTTAAATGTTTGTTTTCCAGAGTTTTTAACATATATTTTTGCTTTAAATACAAACACAAGCC